TCATCCATATGATTCTGAAGGCTGAGTTGGTCGCACTCGAGCGCGCGCACCCTTGCCAGCAGTGGAGGTGTTTCATACTTGGCATTTACGTTGTTTTCTCCAAAATTACACGTGGAAGTACACTTTACAACTGTGAAAATGCTGTAAGTGGAGAGCAAAAGCTTGACAGACAAACAGACTGCGCACAAAGGCTGCGGTGCGCGCAGCATTTGTAGGGACTCTCCAACATCACGTCATGTGAACTCTCTACTGAGATGCAAAGACTCGTTTCTTAAAATCAGCTATGAAATAAACAAAGATATATGTTCTACCAAACATTTAAGTTCCTCTGCGTTTATAGTAATTATGGTAATAAACTCGTGCGCAAAGTTAATATTTTCAGACTRAGAATGGATGGATAAGCCGGTTGCGCAACACAGCAGCATGCGCGCACACACACACACACACCGACACACACACACACCACACACCGACACACAATCACTCGTTCTTTGCGTGATAAACATATTTTATTCCTATTTTTACTTAGGATTTTTTTCTCACTTACTTTATATTAAATTCATTATTTTCCTGACTCTAGAAATCATTTCTGATCACGCAGGGATCAAACAAACATCTTCTTCACACATGCGAGAAGTAATTTGCATCTGTTTTAACGTATATGTTAATGAAGGTGTGTCGTGGAGGTGCCTCACGTGCACTCAGTTCCACGTTAATTGTGATGTACAAAAGCAATGTGCATGGATTCCAGCGTATGCACAGTTTGATACAGCTGGATTTTTTTGTGCGTACGCCGTTTTCTGGATTTGACCGTGCGCCACGTTTCAGTAAGAATTCCACGCAAGTCTTTGTACATGAGGCCCCTGGTCTGGATGGGTTTCCCATAGAGTTTTTTAAGAAGTTTGCACCCAAATTGGTTCCTTTACTTGTTAAAGTATTTAGGGAGATTTTAAATGAAAAAGACCCTACCTACAACTATGACTCAAGCTGCCATTTCATTAGTATGAAAAAAATCTAAAGATCCCTTTCTTTGTGAGTCATATCGTCCAATTAGCTTGCTATGTTGTGACTATAAGATTTTGGCGAAAATTCTAGCTGGCAGGCTTGAAAGGGTTCTTCCAAAGCTTATCCACTCAGACCAGATGGGTTTTGTGGCGGGAAGGCAGATATCCAGTAATTTGCGACGTGTTTTTAATGTAATCTATCAACACAATAATGTTGAACCTGAAGTGATAATTTCTCTGGATGCACAAAAGGCATTTGACAGAATTGAATATCAGTTTTTGTCCACCACCCTCCAAAAGTTTGGATTTGGACCAGTTTTTTGCTCTTGGATTACTGCTTTGTATACAGCACCTCATGCATCAGTTCGTACAAATAAGATGATGTCTAATTTTTTTCCTCTTTTGCGTGGTACTAGACAAGGATGTCCCTTAAGCCCTCTTTTATTTGATATAGCTATTGAACCCTTGGCAATCATGATTAGGGATTCAGCTCTTTTAGTTGGTGTACAAAGAGGTGGACAGGTGAATAAACTGTCCCTTTATGCCGATGATCTCCTTCTTTTTCTTTCTAAACCAAAACCTCATTGAAAATTTTGGGAAAGTTTCTGGGTACAAATTGAGTCTGACCAAAAGTGTTTTATTCCCAATCAATCAGAAAGCCAGAGACAGTATTTTTTTTTAGCAATTTCCCCCTTACAGTTAGATAAAACTGCTTTGATTATTTAGGTGTCTGTGTAACTTATGATTATAACTGCTTATTTAAAAAAAAAAAWTGCTAGGGCACTGAACAGGGCCAGGCTAGATATGGAGAGGTGGTCAAAAGTTCCTTTGACTCTCATAGGAAGAATTAATCCAATAAAAATGGTGATATTGCCTAGGTTCTTATATTTGTTTCAAACTGTACCAGCCTTCATTCCCAAAATATTTTTAAAGAATTAAACAAATATATCTCTATGTTCATCTGGAACAAAAACATTCCTAGGATGAGAAAAGAATTTCTAGAAAGGCGAAAAGAGGATGGTGGACTATCTCTTCCCAACTTCCTTCACTATTACTGGGCAACCAATATTCAAAAATTGTTGTATTGGTTTACAGATTTGTCAGGCACAGAATCGCCTATTTGGGTTCACTTGGAACAACATTCCAGCAATCCAATTTCACTTGGCTCCTTACTATGTCCCCCTTTACCACTAAGCAAATGGTATTGGACAAACAATGCAGTTGTTCAAGGTTCCGTAAGGATGTGTTTCCAATTTAGGACCTACTTTAAATGCAAACAGACATTACTTGCTTCTCCTATACACTCACCGGCCACTTTATTAGGTARACCTGTCCAACTGCTCGTTAACACTTAGTTTCAAATCAGGTGATTTGAGTGCCTTTGAACGTGGCATGGTTGTTGGTGCCAGAAGGGCTGGTCTGAGTATTTCAGAAACTGCTGATCTACTGGGATTT